CCTTGATGATGTGGATGTAGTATATAACCCAGTATTTAAAATTTCAAATGAAATAATAAAATCTGAATGTACACTGAAGTATATGTAGTGTTACATACATGGTTTTGCTATTTGAATGAAATTTCTGCAAACGGATGTGAGGCACATTTAAGATAATTGGCTTTGGTTTCCATTTGTTAGGTTGTTCCGACAGCCAGCCTCCCCCATTTATTTTTTTTTTTTTATCTTTTTTTGTGATAAGTTTTTTTCAGGATCATGTTAGTATTAGTGAATTTGTTAAAACCAGATGTCTTGCTTGGTGGGTCTGTGTATCCATTTAATGATAATTGTGGCATTGAGGATTTAACTATATAAATTTACTTGATTAAACATTTTCAAATCAGGGTATAACAAGAGATTCGTTCCCCCTCGTTCCCCCTCCATAATGTTCCCGGTGTCTGGCACGGGAATGAAACTCTAATAGAATTTAAATAGACCTCATAGGGCTGTGGGTTGAGTAGCAAAGAAAGAAGCAGCAGGATGTAGGTGGTGGCCTCAGATTCTCTGGGTTCTGTATCTGGCCAAACTCTGCATCTGGTGTTTCCCCGGAAATGTGGTGCCAATGTCATACAATGCCACATCTGTTTTCAACAAATGTTTAAGCACCAAGTTCTTAAATTTCTGGCGTGGAAACCTGGCATCCAGTATTTCCAAAAATAGGTTTGAGATTTCAGCAAATTTGGGGTTAACAAACCCTTCTTTAAATTTCCCGGTTAGGAATCAAACTTTTATTTTGCTCTTCCGCCATGTAGTTTCAAAATGTAGTTTTAACCAGGTTCTGTTGTTACAAATTCATACAAATAACCCATTTCAGCATCTTGGTAAATATTTACCATTCATTCTAAACCGAGTATATACTATAGAATCATTGGTGTGAATACTTTCAGTCCTTATAAATAAAATGGAGATACTTTTATTGAAGACAAATTCTGGGTTTAGAACTCATAAATGAAAGAATTGTCTGTTTCTATTAGACCCTTCATTTATGTGGCACTCAATTTTTACAACCGTGCTGTAGAAGGTAGATATTACTGTGTTTTTATAAAGGAGGAAGTTGAGGTCTAGATAAAGTAAGTAACTTGGTAGTAGTCGGAGAGCCAGTAAATGGCTTAGCCAGGATTCTCCCCCAGGTCTGACTCCCGACGTGGTGACGACCACCTTCGCAGGTTGTCCAGATCTGTTCGCCAAGCAGTACCATTGTTGTACAGTAGTGCTGATGGAGGGATTCATGCTTTCTGAGATCCCACATTCTGTGATAGCAAATTAAATGTAAGATATTGTTCAGAATCTGTTTTTAGCTTTTTGCTTTCTATAGTAATATTCTACCCGCTGTATCTTCATGCCCTTGTTTTTTTCTACCCAGCTTATAGCATTTTAAGTGTCGAAAAGTGTGGCTTGTCCCTGACTTGTGCCTATTTTTCAAAATGAGACTATTACAATCAGATTGTAGTTAAAGGGTAATTTATTTTTTAACATTCGCCTTCCACCCCATTTTTATTTTTTATTTTTTTTGTTTTTTTCCACCCCATTTTTAAAAATTTATATATGCTTGCTAGTTATCTTAAATATGTGTTTTCTTGTAATTAACTTTTTCATAGATAATATGTTCACTTGGTTTCAAGTCCAAGAGGTAGAAACTAAGAAGAATGATAACAGTTGCTAACTAGGTCTATGTAGCACTCATTGCCTGCCTGGTGTTCTTCTAAGCATATTTAATGGGTTGATTTAATCCTCCCCACCTTGAAGAAGTGTCGGTAGTACTGTTCTCTCCATCCTGCAAATGAGTGAACTGAAGCCAGAGAGGTGTACCTGATCAAGCTGGTCTGGGTTTTGTCAATGATCTGGTCAAGTTTCACTTCCTTTGGAAAGTCTACTAGAGGTCTTAATGATTTCAAATGATTTTTGTATAATCACTGCATGCCTTTTCTTGTGCTCTACAGAAGGCAGAAGCAACTGTTGATATCCTGATATTTAAGTATTGCAGACTCATCCTGTCTAGATTCTACAGCTGGTTCTGCTGTCTGATTCAGTTTTTCTCAACATTGGCTGCATATGAGAATCACAGGGTTGTAGTTTTGCTTTTTAACTGGAGATTCTTAAACTCTGCTTTCCACTTCAGGGGATAAGAATCTCAGGGTCGGAGGGAGCATTGAGGAATTAGATACATTCTTAGTATATTCTAAATGCAGTCTGAAAAATTGGCTTAATGTCACCACAAATATTTTTAATAAGAAACACAGTTGTTTCATATTTAAAAGCTCTCAAGAGCATGGACATTTATTTTGTTACTCTGCTGTACATTTTACAGTCCATTTGTGCCAATGAATTCAGTAGATACTCTAATTACTCAAAACCATATGGCCATGGCCAGCAACTGATAAATGGGTTACAGTTTTCTTCCAGGCTAAAAAAAATCATTTTTGCCTTGTTCGAAAGAAATTTGGGGTCTAGAGCCCACCCTCACTTATTTTTTCACAGAAATTGCAGCTTTATATGTAGACATTTCACAACTTGCTTGTAGAAATGAGGGGCCACCAGTTCAGGTCAGAGCCTGGATAAGGCTCATCAGTATCCATAAAACACTGTTACTCTTGCCATTTGCTAGTCTGATGGATTGAGTAGGTATCTCTGCCCTTCCTAACACACAGTACCTGCAAGCCAGGCGCTCATCAGAGAATATAACTTGGCATAGAAGGTAATAGTGCATATCCGGCTCTTGTCAGGTCTCCCATTATGGAGAACTGTTGGAAGGACATGCAGTCTGTTCTAGAGTTACTACTGTATCAGGTCGGGCCATCAGATAGCTGTTTTTGAAATATCCTACCTTGCCTGACATATGGTAGCTACACTTGTGAGCATAGCACAATTTATAGGATTGTGGAATCACTATGCACACTCAAAACTAATGTTACTTTGTGAACTATACTTCAACTAAAAAAAAAAAAAAAAAAAAAAACCAAACAAAAAACCCCACAAAAACAATACAAAAGAACCCCCTGCTTTATTTCTTCATTTATAAAAGAGAGCTTGAGTTTCTGGTCACTTGCTTTGGAAGTTTCTCCAACAATTGTTATCCAGCAAGAACACTGATATGGACAATTGAGAATTTTTTAATTGTAGTAAGTAAGTATAACACTGAACCTATTTGATTCTCCTTGTCCATATAGATCACATTAAGTATTGTTTTATAGATGAGTTTGCCATACGAAGTGGAAGTATATTACGTTTTTCTAATTATTTTGCAACACTTAGCATGTCAGTGCATCTTCTCTTTTATATTATTGACTCTCAGTTTCTCTCTTGTTTCTCCTAACATAACAAGCTATTTGTACTTTCATAGGAAAAAAAAATCGATGATACGTTTTATAAATGCATCATTTCCTTATTCTAACTTAACATCTTATGTTAAAAATATGAAGAGAGGCTTTTCTGCAATTTATGAATGAAAACTCTGGATACTTTTACAAGTGGGGGAAATTTGTTACTATTTTATTTCACTTAATTTATTAGGAATGCTTTAGTAGCAAATGACAAAAACCCAAAGGATTGCTTAAATAGGGATTTGTTTTAACAGATCTCTTGGTGTAGGCAGCAGAGAGCTGATGCCACCAGGGAACAAGGTTCTTCCTATCTTTTTTTCTCACTCTGGCATCCTTAGGTACAAGAATTTGTTCTCAGGCTTTTCATTTCGAGGATTCTAACATCTTCTGTGCTCCGATGTTATTTCCTAAGAAGGTGGAATGGCAAGGGGTTAAAGTCTTTCTTCTTCCAAGATTTGTTCCCTCCCCCAAAATCCTACCCCAGGAATTTTTTATATTTTATTGACCAAAACTAAGACATATGACCCCTTCTAGCTTGCAAGGGAGATGGGAAAATAGTACTTCTACTTTTAGCCTGTTGAGAGAAGGCCTGTGAACTTTCACAGTCTCTGCCAGAAGTATTCTTATTGAAAATGGACCAATATTTTTTGTAGCCTGTCTTTAGTATGGCTACTTTTTATAGTCAATTTGAATTTCGGAATTCAGAGCACATTTAATCTGAACCTGTTTACATGGATAAATTAATCTTTTGAAGTAGAGAATAATTATATTTTTAAGGTGTTGAGATTATTTGATAAATCAAATTCCCAAACCCTTATGATTAGATAACAATATTTCAAACTTTAATGCTTTTAGAAGGTAGACCTTGTAGCCTTTTGAACAGTTTCTAATTTTGGTGGGACAAACTGAACAGAGGGGCTATAGGTATTGAACAAATGGCACTTTTCATACCAAAATTGCATTAAAGGAGCTTAAGAATTTAATTGAAGGAATAGGAAAGTAATAAAATATTGGGAATGAAATAAAATTATAAAATAAGTAATGCTTTTGTTTGAGAGTAAATGAGAAAAATAATGTGACAGAGCAGAGGTCACATCACAGAGTAAAACAAAGAATAATCATCTTGGGTTTCAGTCACTTTCTGCCACATACAACTAGCCGTGCTAAGTGACTTTCATTTCTTTGGGCCTCAGTTTCCTCTACTTTCTTATAAGTAGTAGTTATAGCAACCTCACAGTGTCATTTGACTCCCCTACTTAGAAATTGCTAGGCCCGTGCTAAGGCTAGTTAACTCTTCGTTTCCTTTGCTGAATAGATAAGGATGAAAAAGTGCCTAACTTAGAAAAGCAAGCGTGTACAGTTCACAGTCTGTGTCCTAGTCAACTTAACATTTCATGTGAAAGAAGTCTGTACTTGATCAGTAGCCCAGCTGTCCAGCTTGCAATGGGACTGGATCGAGAGTGCCTACCTAAAATAAGAAAACCACTGTCAATCCATTTTTAATGACTTATTTAATTCTACGTGTATATGTGTAGTAAAATTTAGTAGGATATAATGGATTTTAAAGAATATAATTGTACTTGCAAAATCCATATTTTTGTTTCTTTATAACGTTGTTACATATTTTTTTCTCCCAACTAGGATTTTAAGAGTGGACTTGGTATTACCATAATTCCTATGAATGTAGCAAATGTAAAGCAAGTGGACCGAACTGTAAAACAGTCTTTTGAAATAATCACTCCCTACAGGAGTTTTAGGTAAGCTATATTTAAACTTTTGTGTTTGTGTTATTCCAAGAAAGCTTGGGCGATCTACTTTTACATTGCTAGTGGTGGTTTTATTTCTTATAGATCACATAATAAAATCATGTTCATTGTTTTCTATATTATCTAATTTATTAACCGGTATGTAAAAACACCTCATAAAAGTGACTTGAATTATCACACAACCTGCAAAGTTACTAATTTCATGAGATTTGGGATGTTTCTTTTCTTAATACCTTTTTTTCTTAATATGCTTGATAAATATATTAATTTTTTATCAACAAGTATATGAAAAACTCCTTCACATTTTGAAGGAATGAAGAATACTACATTGTCTTTAAACTGTATTTTTATTTACCTTCTTTTAGCCTACTCAGATGTAGTCTTCCTTTAAAATCAATTCCTGATTACAGTTGCTCCATAATGATTTCCTAAAAGGAACTCCTGATTGAAATAATGGTGATGGATCTCATGGCACTTATTCATCAAATATTTTAACAGTTTATAATATGTTTTGTGTTACGGTAATCTAGTAATTACTTCATATGACAATGAGAAAGAAAACTTCAAGTTCCTAATATGTTTTAATAATCTATAATAACTCCATAGCTTTGGTACACAGAAGAGGCATTAAGTCAGTATCTGTGAGTTCACCCACATTAATTCATTTGTTACAAATAATCAGCATATCACAGGGTAGTATGCAGGTCAGAGGCAATTGTCCAGAGGCCTTTGAAGGACTAACAATTACTTAGCAATTTTAAAAATACTCCCAAGTCTGGTATTCATTTCATCTGTCAGATGTGTCTGCTGGCTCAAATTTTGAGGAAAAAATAATCACCTGAAGATTAACAAACTTTATTTTCACATAGGCAGATTCAAGCCTCAACTGAAAATGTAGACATTGGCTGAGCTGTTTTTACTCATAGTATTTCTGACACAAAATATGTGGTGGGCTTTTTCCTCACACCAACCAATTCTCCATGTCTCCAGATCCCAAGCGGGTGTTGGGATTCAGTCCTATTCCGACAGCAGCTACTTGGCTTGAGCATTAGACCCCACAAGTTTAAGGGCTCAATCCCACAAAGCTGCCTTCAATTCAGACTCCAGTCACAAGTACTGGGTCCTCAGCTTACCCACGCTTTGTTCTAACTTGGCTGCAAATTGGGATTCCCAAGACCCCAACTCCCCAGGTTCACTAATTCGTGAGAATGGCTCGCAGAACTCAGGAGAACAGTTTAATTAATTATTGCCAGTTTATTATAAAGAATGCATCTCAGGAACATCCACATGGGAGAGCCACACAAACAAGGTACAGAGCTTCCATGCCTTCTCTGGGTACATCACTCTTTCAGCACTTCAGTGCATTCATCAACCTGGAAGCTTTCTGAACCCTGTCGTTCAGGGGTTATTATGGGGGGGGGTGTTTCATTCTGTAGGCATGATTGATTAAACCCTTTGTCTTTGTTGATTAACTCAATTGCTAGCACCTCTCCCATCCCTAGAGGTCAGGGGGGTGGGGCTGGAAGTTCCAACCCTCTAATCACATCTTGTTCTTTGTGGTGGCCCCCTCCCATCCTAAAGCTATTAAGTCCTCCAGCCACAAATTATCTCACAAGGATACAAAAGGCACTTGTCACTCCAAGAGTTTTAGAATCTGTGTACCAGTAACGCAGGTGCAAAGACCGTTGTGCCATATTGGCTGTGACCAATCTCATAAAAGTGGAAACCACAAAGAAGTTTATGAATATTATGCTGATGATAGCAAAGTGCTTCAGAAAATATCCATTGTAGGCCTCTCAGTTTCCTTATGGGTTATTTGGAATATGTTAGTCATCTGTTATTTTCATTATATTTCAAAAACATTTTCATCTTCAGAACAGAAAACATTACTGTGAAACATTTTGTGGGTCATTGGCCGAGTTTGGAGCACTGTAGCACATTTCCTGACACATTGCAGATACTGACTAAACATTTCTTGGAGTGAACCCATGGTTAATGTTTTATTCCTTTACTCAGGTATCCAGTAAACACTAAGAATTAGGATAAATCAGAACATGGCTAAAAATGAGTTAGAATTCCATTAGAATAGTAATCACTTGAAACTTTTTTGATTTCTCAGTTTCTTAAAGCCATCTGGACATTCTTCTCATTAGAAAAGAAAATCTATTTTTAAGACTGAAAAAAATCAAAATTTCTGGTGGGTGTTTTTGATAATTTAGTTTCAGACTATCATGGCATACTTCCTTGGCAAAATAATCCAATAGTCCCAAAAGTCTGAAACTCAGCCAGTATCTCATTGATTATTATATAACCACTGCTTAGGAAACATGGCCTCTCATTTAAGCTGTTGACCTAACAAGGCGATTTTTATATACTGGTCAGAAAAATGTACATATGAATTTTGGTTCAAGATATGTAAACAAATTCATAAACAATGTGGGATGTTAAAGGAAAAAAATGGATTTTTAAATTAGATGATTTTTAACAGAAAAGACTATTCAGCTGCCTGGAAGGCGTATTTTTCAGCTGCTGTTTAACTTGTGAGTGAAATGAATATGCAAACTGAACATACCGCTTAATTGGCCTTTACAAGAGAGATCGATAATGCAGAAACATTAATTGTCTCAGCTTTACAGCCGAGTCTGAAAAAGAGAAACAAGAGTGGATTGAAGCTGTGCAGCAATCGATAGCAGAAACTCTCTCTGATTATGAGGTAGCTGAGAAGATTTGGTTCAACGAGTCCAACAGAAGCTGTGCCGATTGTAAAGCCCCGGACCCTGACTGGGCATCCATCAATCTCTGTGTTGTCATCTGTAAGAAGTGTGCAGGTAATTAGTTATAAGTTATGCTCAGCACTGTTTGGTAGCAGATTGGCACTGAATGCTCTTTATTGTCATACGTAATGTGTCCCAGCCAACAGTTGTGAAAAATAAAAATGGAGGAGGCTTTTACATTTCAATTAAATTTAGAAATATCTTATAGTTCTAAACTTCTTTTATGCATGACTTAGACGTAAAAATTGATTTTTAAGCATGTAATCATTTTGAGCGCCTCCTGGTCCATGTGTGGATGTTAAAAAGACAGTGTTGAAATTTTTAGATTTTAAGGTGAGCGTGTTTCAGAATGCACCCTGAACATGCTTGCATCTTTGCATGATTTGCCCACTTTTCCCCAGTCATATTTTGTAAGATGTGTATTTCATATCAAGGTCATTCTGAGCTCTAAACTTGGCACAGCAGATCCCATATCTCTTCTAATGAGAGTGTTTATCTAGAAGCATTTCCAAAGAGTATTGAGGTTTCTGACAGTAACCAGTACTATGACTGGTTATCTTATTGTGACTTTACAGCTTACAGACCATCTGACAGCTCAGTGTATTTGGGGGTTCATAGTTGTTCCAGTGAGTGGAGGGAATGGACCCCAGCTTAGGTGTGTGGTCATAGAGGTCTTGAAGAAACTTAGTCACATCCTAAACTTTACATCAGCATCCTAGCTTTACCAGGTACTATGCTGGTCCTGGGAATTAAAAAAAATGTATAAGAGATTGATATTGCAGTAGAATTACAGTTCATTGCAGTCGAATATGATAATGGCAAGACCGGAGTTGAGCACAGGTTTCATTGAGAGAATGCGGAGGAGGAGCACTACCTCAGTTAGAGCAAAGGCTAGGACGGTTTCTTCAGTCCTCAATACTTTTCAAGAGTTCTATGCTTCCACAGTTCTTAACACGCTAGATTTTCTCAGGAGCTAATTAACATCAATGGCAACAAGAAGAAGCATCAGCTAATCCCCCTCTACTTTGTATTTCTTCCCAACCTTTTTTCCTCTCCAGTCTCATTGGAGGAGAGCCTTTGTGTTGTCCGAGGCTGTTGTTTCTACTCATGTCTTCTGCTTCTTTCTTCTCTTCTTAGGATCCTCACCTCATCGCTTATTCCTTCTCTGTAATTATTCAACCGTGGTTTCTTTTGTTTCAGCATATATACTAATGCATGTCTGTATGTTGACACTAGCTTCCTGAAAACTTCCCATTTCCCTGTAGGTATCATTCTCTGTCTCTTTTCCCTTCACAGACAGGGTACTTTCAAGAGTAGAATTCTGGGGGTGCCTGGGTGGCTCAGTCGTTAAGCATCTGCCTTCGGCTCACGTCCTAATCCTGGGGTCCTGGGATCGAGCCCCACATCGGGCTCCCTGCTCCACGGGAAGCCTGCTTCTCCCTCTCCCACTCCCCTTGCTTGCGTTCCCTCTCTCACTGTATCTCTCTGTGAAATAAACAAAATCTTTAAAAAAAAAAAAATAGAATTCTGCACAGATTTCCTTCATTTCTTTAACTTCCTTGTTTTTCTTCATCCTATGATCAGTTTTCTCTTCTCTGTAGTCCAGTAAAAATATTTTCACCATGTTTCCCTGTGTATTTTACCTCTCTGTTTCTGTGTGGTCTGTTCCTATCTTTATTGTCTTCTCCACAGTATTTGGCACTTGAGTATTTGACCAGTGTGTCTCTCTGTGACTTCCCATCCTCCCTTACCTTCCAAAATACCATTTTCTCTTTGTGTGTTCTTAATACTCTGGTCATTCTTTTTCAGGTTACTTTTCCTTTGCCTGGTCCTGAAATACATGTGTTCCTTTGGGTTACATCCTCAGTTCTTTTTCACTCCAGTGTTCCTGGTTGATGTTATTTATCATTTTAAGTTCAGCACTCACTTATGAGTGGACAGTTCTCACCATGTTGGACATTGTACTTGTGGGTCTACCTACTGGACTCTTTTCTTGGATGTGCCCAAGATACCTCAAAAATAGCATGTGAAAAATGGAGCTCTCATTGCTGCCCAGCTTATTACATAAAACTGAACATTCTCATTTATTCTAAATCTTGGTCAGAAGCAATACTGTCTACCCTACATTCAAGCCTAAAACCTGAGAGACCCTCTTGACCCTTCCCCTCTCTTAAAGCCAACCAAGTCTCAGTAGTTTTTATCGCCTCAGGATTTCTGAATCTGCCCTCCCTTTTGTTGCTCCTCCTGCTTGTCTCAACTCAGATTCTATCTTTTTTTTTTTTTTGCCTCCAAGACTCCAGGGGTTCTTTCCAGTTCTTCTACCTGTTTTCTGAGTCCAACCTCTTTCAGTATTGCCTAGTTGGTCTTTATAAATGCAAACCTATGCATATTTCTGCCATTGGGATTTTAAGACTTAGTGCTCTGAGTAGTTACCATTTTAAAGAAAGGAGGAAAGGAACCTCCTACCTAATGTAGAGAGAGGAATGAACTTTCATGCTCATAGGCAAAAAGTCATTAAGATAGAGACAGTGTCTTGAATACCTTATTCTCTCCTCAGCCTAGAAAGCCTGAGACACATTCCTGGGTGTCCAGTAATGACTGAATGATGATTACACAGCATAATTGAATCGATTGTAATAGAATGCTGGGCTCTTATTCTCTTTCAGGCATATAAGTAGAATAAAGAATCCACTTCATATTTTTAGATACATGTTTTTATTAGAGCTGTTGCTAGTTTTTTTTTTTTTTTTTAGGAGTAAAAGGATATCTATGTTTACATACATGGAATTTAAACAAACCTATTATAAAGTTTTTCAGTAACCTCTAATTGCTTGTTAATTACCAAGTGATGAATATACACACATACATATTGGTATACATATATACTTAGTTTTAAAACTATAGTTTTATACCACTACAGGGTAGTGATGAAGATGATTACTGTTATCTTCATTGTGGTTGGGATTTCTGTATAATTATCACCACTACTTTTAATGCTATTGGCATTAGGAAATTAGATATTGATGTGTTTTAAGTTGAAAAGGTATATACACACACACATACATGAATGCATACACACATTTTTTAAAAAGATTTAAAGATTAAAGATTTAAAGATTAAAAATAAAAGATTTAAAATACATTTACATACAAATTGAAATAGAAATGCAATTGTATCTTGACTTCAGGACAACATAGATCTTTAGGACCAAAAGATTCCAAGGTTAGAAGTCTAAAAATGGATGCCAGCATCTGGAGCAATGAACTCATTGAGGTAAGTCCAGCCTAACTGTGGATGTGGTTAGCAGGGATCAGGTGGTAGTTAGCAGTGGAGTGGCATGAATTACTTTAGGAGCTCTTTGATAAAGTTCTCACCACACTGTAAAAATGGCTTATAACCTGTTCGGTAGTAGTAGCTTCCTACTTCAACTTTAAGAATGCTTCTTAAATGAGATAGTTATTTTAAAAATATAAAATACAAGGAATTTAGTAGTAATAGCTACTTTTAAAGGCTTGACAGCATTCTTTTTTTTAAAGCCAGAATTTCTTTCTTTTTAACCCAGCATGGATAAAATATTAGAAAAGTGAATGAAAACATTTGGCAAAATTTTCTCTTCTTTTTCTTGACCATGCTCTGTCATAACTGCGCTCATGTCTTTCTGTCTCCTGTTTCCGTTTTCTTCTTGGATTTCAGTAACCCTCTCAACCACATTACCCCACCTCCTAGGCCATTTTAAATGAATCTGTCTCTATGTGACCTTCAAAAAATAATAATGCTTTTGCTGCAATTTGGGTTGCTTGCAGTTTCTTTTCTAGCTTATCTTGTACCATTACTAAAAGCAATGAGGCTGTATTTAAAATAGAAATAATATCTGCTTTCACACACCATCTTCCTGAAAGATATGGGTTTTTCATGTTTATGCGTATTTTATACTAAGTTTTTTTTTTGGGGGGGGGAGTATGCACATGGGGGCAGGGAAGGGGCAGATAGAGACAGAGAATCTTAAATAGGCTCTATGCTCAGTGTGGAGCCCTGTGCAGTGCTCGATCTCATGACCCTGAGATCATGACCTGAGCCAAAATCAAGAGTCGGATGCTCAACTGACTGAGCCACCCAGGCGCCCCCTAAGTTATATTTTAATATGTGAGTCAGGTTTTTGTAAATTCAAATACATTTTATGAACTCATACTGTTTTATAACTTTCTGACAATTTAGCTCTTTATTGTCATTGGAAACAAAAGAGCAAATGACTTTTGGGCTGGTAATCTTCAAAAAGATGAAGAATTACACATGGATTCACCTGTAGAAAAGAGAAAAACCTTTATCACTCAGAAGTACAAAGAAGGAAGATTCAGAAAGACCCTACTGGCATCTCTCACCAAAGAAGAATTAAACAAGGTATCAAAAAATATATAACAGTAGACATGGATCTTGATGTCTTTTGAAATATGGGTCAGGGATTTTGAAAAGAATTTTAAGAAGTCCTTTACTATTTGATAAAAGTATTGTTTAATGTTACTTTATTTCCATTTGCAAGATTGTAGTATTGATTTTACCACTGTTTTACTTAAGAATTCATTTTCAATAGTGAATAAATTCTTTGTCCATAACATGAGTTTCCAGCTAACTTAGGCCTCCTCCAATATTCTGAGAACTGTGGCAACTTTCCTATTTTAGGGACAGGACACTAAGTGTAACTTCAGCTTGTACATTGCTGACATCCTGTCACCAAAATAAACATCATTTATTCAATGTATTGTTACAAGCGATGCTTTGCTTAGTGTTGTTGACCCCAAGTGATGTTTACCTTTGGCTGAGTGATTCCAGACCTTCTGGTCCCTGTTTTTTGCTGCCCACTTGTTCTTTACCCTTTTGGCAAAGGATATGGTAAGCATCCTGCCTGATTTCTTTTTTGAAATTGCTGCTTCAATTTCTTATGTGTTAGGAGGCTCGTTCATGTAGAGATATTTAATACATGCCTGTTGTTTTTGTGCTTAGAGACTATGTTCTTTCATGGTTCCCAGTTTTTTAGTATGCTTTTAGGGGCAGTACTTATGGATAAAAATCCTCAAGTAAGTAGCATTATGCAGAACATTTTGGAAAATAAATAAAGGCCTTTTTCATCCTTCTGTAGAAATTACAAGATCATACAATTGATTTACATTTCTATTGGATTATTTCCCCTAAACTAAGTTTTTAGTCTTTGTACATCTTTGGTGATAGTAAAGTGAGGCCACCAATTGATTTTAAAGCAATGGCACATAAAATACGAAGGATTCAGAATGGGCAGGTAAGGTAGAGGAGAGTGGGGGTGATGGTATGGGGATGGTGTTTGGGAACTATTTATATAGGTTATTACTAAGACACTTTGTTTTGGGTGGTGGTTTCATTGGTGTTAAATACATTATTAAAATTGACCAGTTATACGAGACATACATGAAATAATAACAACAGGGTACATAAACCAAGGATTTTGATTAATTCTGTGCACCAGAGCTCTATAATAAATACATATATAAATAGTAAGTTGTGGATTTTGGGAAATAATTGGTGAAATTATAGAACCAGGGCATAGATTCCTCTAATGGTCTCTTTCTTTTTGATAGTGATGGGTATCTTATTAGCAGGTATACTAATGTCCCCAAATAAAGTGCTGTCTGCCACACCACACAGTTTCCATTAGATAAGTTTTACATTAATTACTAGCAATTGAATTATTCTAAGAATATTATAGAGAAGTCTACCCATTGGGATTTATTTCTACAGTGGGCTTCTTAAAAATGGTACTCTTAATGTCAGCAAATAATTTTTACAAAAAATATATTTAATTGAATAGACACATTTTTAATTGAGATATAATTTACCTACAACATTGTATAAGTTTATTCAACCTGTTGATTTGGTACATTTATATATTGTGGTATGATTGCCACTGTAGCTATATCACATAATTATTGTATTCTATCACATAATTATCATTTCTTTTTTATAATAAGGACATTTAAAGTCTAGTCTCTGAGCAGTTTTGAGGTAAATAATACAGTATTATTGATTATAGCTACTGTGCTGTTCATTAGATCTTCAGAACTTACTTATCTTCTAGTTGTAAGTTTGTACCCTTAAACATCTCCCCACCCCCCCAGACACCCCGTGGTAACCACATTCTAATCTGTGTTCCTATGAGTTTGGCTTTTTTAGGTTCTACATATAAGTGATATATAGTATTTATCTTTCTCTGGCTAATCTCATTGAACATTATGCCTTCAGGTTCCATCCATGTCCCAAATGGCAGGATTTCCTTATGCCTCATGGCTGAATAGTATTCGTGTGTGTGTGTGTGTGTGTGTAGCATATCATCTTTATTCATTCATCTCTTGATGGATACTTAGGTTGTTTCCATATATTGGCTATTGTGAATAATGTTCTAATAGACATGAGGTTGTAGATCTGATACCATTCTAATAGGTGTGAGATAATCTTGTGGTTTCCCTGATGATTAATAATGTTGAATATCTTTTCATGTAACTGTTGACCACTTGGATGTCTTCTTGGAAAAATGTCTATTCAGTTTCTCTGCCCGTTTTTTAATCGGAATGTTTTTGAGCTTGTGAGTTCTTTATATATTTTAGATATTAACTCCTTATCTAATGTATGGTTTGCAAATATTTACTCCTGTTCTATAGGTTTGCCTTTTCATTTTGTTGATTTTTCTTCAGATGTGAAGCAGCTTTTTAGTTTGACAGAGTCCCGCTTATTGATTTTTTTTTTCTTTTGTTGCTTGTGCTTCTGGTGTCGTCTCCAAGAAGTCACTGTCAAGACCAATTTCAAGGAGCTTTTTCTTGTGTTTTCTTCTAGGAATTTTAAGGTATCAGGTCTTATGTTTAAGTCTTTAATCTCTTTTGAGTACATTTTTGTGAATGGTGTAAGATAAGGCTCCAGTTTCATTTTTTTGTATGTGAATATCCAGTTTCCCAACACTATTTGTTGAAGAGACTACCTTTTTTCCATTCCGTGTTCATAGTGGATGGATATTGATTGCACACTTACAAGTTCTGAGTTCTTTTTTAGGTTCTGGGGATACAATTGTAGTAAAACATAAATGTGCTTCTTTTATTCATGAGAGTTGTAGTCAAGTAAGGGAGACTAACCGTGAATGGCTGAAGTCCAGTAAATGTACCATAACAAATACATTGTGCTGTGAAAGAAAACAGTAGTGGGGAGATGGAAGAATGAGAGGAAATACGTGTGATTAAATGTGGGAGGGCAGTCAAAGGCTATTGCAGTGGACGGGATGTTAGCTGGTATCTTTTTCAACACCCTGATGTTGCAGATGAGGTAAACTAAGACTCAGGCAAGTGAAGGGATTGCCTACGATCACCTAGCAAATTGGTACAAAGTCAGGTATAGGTTGCGCTGTTTGATTCCGATGCAAAGGAAATTCTGTAGGTCAGCTAGACCATGGTAGGAAAGGTAAGTACATTTTTTAACAGTTAACCGTGCAGGACTGGAACTGTGAATGCATCGTGGGACTTCTTGGCTGTCCACTCTGAGCTGCCTATTGGGATATTTAATGAGCAGTTATTCTGAAGTTGCATTGTAGAGGGTAAATTAACCAGTGATCTATCTGGGTGCAGCATGTCAAGGAGGAGGTGAAAGGGTCAGTCCGGGGCTAAAAAATCAGATAGAATCAGGGTGCCAAAATCACAGGGTTTGGAAGCACATGGGAAGCCAGTAAAGTGAGGAAGCAGAAAGAGAGGATGAGGAGAGAGGTGAAGGCAGCTTATTTCTTCGAGGTCACAACAAAAGCAACAACAACACAATTAGGTTCTGGCAGTTGCTAGTGTTTGTACGATGATGTATAACATAAGTCAGTGTTGTTCTATTACCCCCTGCTTGCCATTCCTCCTCCCCACCCATACCCCACACAAAAGGAAAGATACTGGATTTGTTTTGCACTCATCTTTCAAATTCCCAAAGCACAACAATACTTTAAAAAATTATATAGATCCGATTAGGCTGAAAAATACATACACAACATTTATATGACAAAACATTTAACAGATACTTCATTATTACGTTTTACATGTTTTGCATTTTCTGAGCATCCAGCCATTATCATAGTACATAAGCATAAAAAATGTCTTCCTAAGCAACTGTGATGGATTGGAAGGTTGGAACATCACAGCAACAGAACAAGGAATTAAAACTTGGAGGGCTTAGGTTGTAATTTAAATTCATACAAAGCAGACCTTTTGAGCCTGGTGCTTAATTCAGGACATACTTATTATTAGCTTTCTAGGTTAAAAAAGAAATACACACTTCATCTTACAAATGGTTTGGCAGACTTTCACGCATTTTAATAGCTAGAATTGTATTTCCTTCCCTTAAAAGGTGTGTTTTCTTTTAACGACCAGGCTCTGTGCGCTGCTGTTGTGAAACCAGATGTTCTAGAAACGATGGCTTTGCTGTTCAGCGGAGCGGATGTTATGTGTGCAACTGGAGACCCTGTGCATAGCACCCCCTACCTGCTGGCCAAGAAGGCTGGACAAAGTCTGCAGATGGAATTTCTCTACCATAACAAATTCTCCGGTCAGTCCCTGTCCCTACATTAGCCTGGTCTCTTCTGATATATCTCCAAAAGGAATGAAGTACAAATCTGCATATTTCTCAAATAAGAAAAACCATCAGAAGGAAGACAAGGGTGATTATTGAAAAGATAGAAGATGCTTAAAACCATGTTTTGTTTCAAGGAAATTGTTTAGGAAATCTTTTATATTTCTTTAATCTTACAAAGATTAAAACAGTTAATCTCACCTAATCATTTTCACCAAAATTAATTCTGATTTTCATATGTGAATAATAAACATAACAAGTGCTTATTTGCAAATTCTGTGCGACGTGAGATAAATACCTGTGTATTTATTCTGTGGTGAATTTGAAGTAACTTCTAGCTAAAAACTCACCTACATATTCATAAGCAAAGGGAAAGTATTTACATTTTAGATTTCAAATGTATTATTTCTGTATTTTTTTCCAGATTTCCCTCAACATGACATTCACTCTGAAGGTGGATTAAGTCAAGAGTCCTCCCAGTCCACGTTCCTCTGTGACTTTTTGTATCAGGCTCCTGCTGCTTCTAAACTTTCTTCAGAGAAAAAACTGCTTGAAGGTATCTTTTCAGCTTCTTTTCGACTTTGTTATCTGACAAAACTTTATTTCATTATCAAAACAATTATGTTTAAATTTTTATTTTTTTTCCCTTAAGATGTTAGATTTGATCTCGCAATAGAGAAATATTTTTTGAGGATTTATAAATGCTTCAAGGCACAGACACGATTTCATGCACTGCAGCAGGGATTTACCACTGGGTTGGAATGCTGGTGAATTCTCAACAGAATTCACTGGTGTCTCTTTACCGCCAACCAACTCTGTTTCAGGATTTAAGGGTTGTTCCAAAGAAATGTGAAACTCAGCCCTTTCCATTAGGGACAAACACCCTAACTGGGGAGATAATAGAGATAAATGTCAACACATAGGCAGAACTGACAAGTTTTCGGTTTGTTCTGATTATAAGCGTACGTGCGTGTGAGTGGAATACAGCTTAAGCATGGTTTCAAAAAAATGATGGGAATTAATTCAACAACCTCTCCTAGGTTTGGGGAATTATCTGAGCAGTCACGGTAGGTGTTTCTCCATCTCTGCATCCAGCTCCTTGTGTCAAGCGTGTGCTAATAAGCATTAGGAATTACAAAAATGAATAAGACACAGGTCTCATGTTCAATACATATGAACTAATTTGGGAAATATAGGCTGAAAAATATAATGAGATCTGTCTTAATGGAACAAAGAGAATTTTAAGAGAGATTAAGCTGTACAGGCCAATTGGTGGTGGGCATTTAGAGGCTCGGGAGCCTAGTATTAATTCCCTAGGTGGTATAATCCAGCTGTACTACTCTATCAAAGGAACAATAGGATGAAAAAACTCACTTTAGAGTGTTAATCCTGATCTTTGTGCATTTAAAGTGATTATTTCAGTATAAATGCTTTATATCCAAAGAAATGATATCCCTAAGTAGAATTATATTGGGATTAGCCCTACTTTATTAGATTTTCCAGAAAATAGTAGCTATCCTTTAGTGAACAGGTACTATGTGTAAAGCATTGCTTTAGGTACTTTATGTACATTAATTGTAATCCTCATAATGAAAAATGGAGGAGCTCAGCATGAAACAGAATTTTACATCTGATTTGTGTTATAATTGTTATTGTTACGTAACACTTTGGCCTTGGTCAAAGTGTTATGCTGGGTGGCATTTTGAATTTGGATGTTTTTGGTTCTTTCAGCAATTGGTTATTAAATGTCTTCCTGCACTCAAACTAATAAAAAATGACAAATTTTATAGAAATCTTCTCGAAATCTTCTATTGCTCTTCAGTATTTAACCCTTAGGTAGTCAGAAGCTGGTCAGAAATGGGGAGGGAGTACCTGAATAATCTGTGAATTGGCTATAGTAATTATTAAAATAATTCTAGGCAGTTAATGCACTTGTAAATAAGTTTACAAGTTTTCTAAAATATTTCTTCTGAATAGTAGGAGATCTTAGACCCACCCTTCAAATCACTTATAAAAAGATGAGATAGGGAATTTGAAATATGAGATTTTCTTTCTAAAACTAAAATGTATCATAAGCACTTTGCGGCTAAAAATAAACTTTCATTTATTTTTTGGCAAAAATAAAAAACATTGTGCTTATAATATTTATAGACTTAACAGTTTGTTTTAATATTTCCTTGAAGATTGCTTTTCTTAATCACTCGGGGAATAAATTATGTTTTAAACTTGTAACTAAATCATTCTTTCCTTTTATCTTTTATAAATTAGCTATGGATTTTTTTTGTTAAATTTTATTTCCAAAATTAAAAACTGGTGCATTCTTTGTAATTTAATTGGGGATGTTTTTTCATTTTGGAACATCCTGTTTTAAGTAATATGAAATTAAGCTTTTGCACTTTGGCTGTGTAGCACAACAGAAATGATTTCATTGGAAAATAATCTCCTGGTAATGTATTCTTTGATGGTCTTCATTTCTTCCATCCAGTTTGTCAGCAGCTTCTATCATTTCAAACTCAAAATAGATCTTGAATCAGTTGGCTCCTCTCCATCTTAACTAATAGATAGAATCCTAGCCCAGCCACCATCACGTCCTACCTGGGCTGCAACACCCCCCTTAATTTGCCTCCCAATAACTAACCTACCTTCCTTCCAAATCGTTCTCCAAAAGCAGATTTAATGATCATTAAAAATGTAAATCAGATCTTGTATTTTCATTCTTTGAGTATATTCATCAGTTTCCCATGACAGAATATATCCCTGTTCCTTAGTGTGACCGAAGAGAACCTCCTGTCCCTTCCCTCTTCATCTCACATATTCCTCCCTGTACTCACAGGCCTGGCCCCACTGTTTTCCTCTCCGTTTCTGCAACATGTCATGTTCTTTTCTGCTTTTCTGGACTTGTACAATTGCTGTTCATTTTGCCAGGAGGGCACTTCCCCCGGTTTGGCTTTTTTCTCATTTTTCAGGCATCAGTTTAGTGCTACTGTGGTATGCTGTTACTGGTAGCTCTTTCCTTTCATGGGGTTCTTCTTATTTCCATCATAGCATTTACTGCATGAAAATGGTCCCTCCTTTATTGGTTTCTCTCTCTCTCTCTCTCTCTCGTGAAAGCTCAATGAGACATGAGCATTTGCTGGCTTATTCAAGATTATCAGATCTTTGGTGCCTAAAATAGTGTCAGCACAACAGTAGTCTTGTGTAAATATTTGTTGAATAAGTGACCATTTCTCTTATCAAGTTATTACTGGTGTAAAAGGGCAAGAGACTTGTTAATATTTTGTTTTTGACTTGCGCCTAAAAAGATATAGTTGTGGGTCAACAGACACGTGAAAAGATGCTCAACATCACTAATCATTAGGGAAGTGCAAATCAAAACCATCTTATACCTATCAGTATGGCAAGGACCTAAAAGACAAGAAACAGATGTTGGCAAAGATGTGGAGAACCCTTATGTGCTGTTGGTAGGAATGTACCCTGATGCAACCACTGTGGAACACAGTATGGAGGCTCCTCAGAAAATGAAAAACAGGAACACCATATGATCTGATGATTGCACTGCCGGGTGTTTACCCAAAGAAAGCAAACACACTAATTCAAAAAGGTATATGCAGCATTTTTTACAGTAGCTGAGTTATAGAAGCAACCTAAATGTCTATCCATAGAAGAATAGATAAAGAAGACATGGTGTATATATATATTACAATGGAGTATTACTCAGCTATAAAAAAGAATGGTATCTTGCCATTTGGGACACTATGGATGGACCTAGAGGGTATTATGCTAAGTACAATAAGTCAAATACTGTATGAATTCACTTATAATGGAATCTAAAAAGCAAAACAAATGGACAAATAAACAAAGAAAACCGGAAACAAAATCATAAATAGAACAAACCAGTGGTTGCTAAAGGGGAGGGGGTTGGGGAGGATGGGCAAAATAGGTGAAGGGGATTAAAAGGTACGGGCTTCCACTTGTGAAATAATTAAGTCGTGGGGATGAAAGCTACAGCATAGGGAAGATAGTAATATTGTAATGATCTTGTATAATGACAAATAGTGGCCGATGATGACTATGCTCGTCATGGTGAGCACTGCACAGCGTATAGAATTATCAAATCACTGTTGAATACCTGACAGGTATGTTGTACAGCTAAAAGCAATATAACATTGTATGTCAGCTAGACTCCAATTAAAAAATTACATATTTGCTGATGCAGAACATTTTGTTCAGAAAGTGTCTGCTTAAAAGTGAAGAAAAAGTCGAACTACCAAGAAACAAAGTTCTGTTTGTTGTTGTTGTTTCTCAAGATGCTGTAGCGGTGTAACTCCTGTTGAGCACCAGCATTATGGAAACAAATGAATTATTTGGGAAGATTTAGAGATGAAAGTGTGTCTGTTGCCTTTGCCTCTGACTGGCCGTCAGCGCTTGTCAGGACAGCCAGAGAGCGAAATGATTAAACAGGAAGAAGAAAGAATAAAATGCATGCAGTCCTTCAGAGAGATACAAGAGGCTTCAAATTGTCAGTTCAGGTTTTCAGGATTCAAAGTTCTTCTAGCCTCAGGTTATGAAGACTGATCTGTATTTTTCTTTTTCTTTTTCTTTTTTTCTTCTCAATTTAGTGTTCATGAAAAGAAAGATTGATAGCTCGTGTTAAACCTAAGTATAGAGCTGAATAATAGCATCCTGGTTTTGTTTTCTGTTTTCTACCCTCAACCATATTTTTTCCCCCTTGGTGTCTTACCGTGATTTGTTGACACGGTGTTTGATTTTTAAAAAGAAAGTGGTTGATATGGTTTGCTAGAAACTCTATATCGTCTGTTTATATTTAATTTCATAAATTAGCATTGAGGAATTTTGAAGATCTTTTGTTCTATCAGTGCCTAGCTTGTATAGTCTTAAAATGTTCGAGGCTAAACCACATTTATTTTAAATGAAAAGAATTCCTTGTGTGTATTCCTGTTTTCAGTGAATGCTGAATACCATCAGTTTAGGAAATTCTTCATCAGGAAACAACTTCATGGTTTCAAAAAATAATAGTTTGCCTTCACTGTCTTGGAGTTACTGCGCACATGTGTATTAGAAGCTATGACCTCGGGGCGCCTGGGTGGCTCAGTTGGTTAAGCGTCTGCCTTCGGCTCGGGTCATGATCCCAGGGTCCTGGGATGGAGCCCCGCATTGGGCTCTCTGTTCAGCGGGGAGCCAGCTTCTCTCTCTCCTTCTGCCCTCCCTCACCCCTGCTTGTGATCTCTCTCTCTCTCTCTGTCAAATAAATAAATAAAATCTTAAAAAAAAAAAAAAAAGCCATGACCTCTACTCTCTCTAATATGTTTTAAAAATGGACATACATGCTTCAAATGTGTAACAGGTGCAGAGAGGCAGTATCGGTAAGTGGTCAAGAGGCTCGGTTCCCAGACTTGGCCACCTGGGTTCTACTCTCCGCCCTGGTTTCTAAGTACTTGTGTGATCTTGGAGAAGTCAGGTAACCATTCTGTGCCTGTGGACGGGGTACAAGGGAGGGATGTGTGGTAGAACTGACCCAGTAGGGTTTTTCTGAGGATTCAGTGAGTTGATGTTTATAAGATGTGTAGAAGAGTGCGTGGCATGTAAATACGATGATGAGGGGATGAGAAGCAGAAGCAGCAGCAGGGGGTCTATCTGTAGTCATAGCTGTTTCTGATTTCCTGTTATTCTCTGAGTTTAGGCGTATCCTCCAGGTGGTAGCTGATAGCCAGTGTTCCCAACAGTAGCATCCATGTCATTGCATAGTATTCCAGTAGCTCGCCACTGGAGTCCTTTCTTGTGTTTGAACAAATTCCAGTAATGTTTTTCTTCCCTGATCTAAATATCAAGATTGAATAGAAAGAATGAACAACCTCTCCAGCCACTCCAACCACCATACACACCAGCTCTTGTCAAACAAATAGCTTGTGTCCTGAGAGTTGCCCTCTGTGGCCCCAGTTTTATTTCTGGTGGACATCTTCTGGTAATTGGTTAACGGTAAGACTTCCTCTGTAGCAGAGTATGTGTTCTCAAAATCAGAGTTGGGAGAGCATATCTGAATTGGGCTAAGCAGACCAATGGAATCTGACATAAGCTCTTCCTTGCTTCCCAAATGAATAGGAACGCCAAGGTTTCCTATCACAGCTTTGTTATTATAAATCCTCAAAGGTGATATCTATGCCTGCCTTATCTGACCACTTCTGACCCATTTCCACTTACCAAAAAAAAAAAAGGCAAATCAAGGGTTATAGTGATGATAATGCTATAGGACTAAATCCCCTCAAGCTCGTATTTCTAACCGAAAATGAGTTTGTACTCACCTTTTTAAAGGATCTGTCATTTGTTTCCCGTTAGAATTTACACAATTAGATTCTGCATTTACATTTATTTTATGCATCATGCATTTGGCACTTTTTGTTTAAGACCTTCCAACGAATCCCACTTGTCTGCCAAGAAAGGCACAAACTCCTGAACACCTGTCACATAAGACTCCTGGGGCCTGGCCTCTGCTGTGGGTCTGTGATCTTCTTTCCTATTTGCTAACTTCATGTGTAATCTGGTTCTCTGGCCAAATCGATTTTTGGCAGTTTCCCCTTTCCTTGACTTTTCTCACAGTGTTTTTTCCCAGAATTATGGAGTGGTTATAGCTCAAAATGTATTTTTCACTACTTTAATGTCTTTTCAGTTATAAATAACTATTTTGAAAGCTGTGTTTTTCTGTGAAATGGTTCATCATTCTAGTCTGAGGATCGCTTCCTTCCATGAGTGCTTCCAACCCCTAAAGGCACCCCTGCCCCCACCATGGTTATTATTCCAGACACATCTCCTCTTGGATTGGACTGCAAAATGTTTGAGAACAGGGGGTGGGATTCCTAACTATGCAAGTCATTATCTGTGTACTCAGTAAATGTGCATTTTTTTGCATTATTCTTTATGAGGATTATCCTCTTCATCTGAGTACGTTGTTTTGAAGTTGTTTCATAACTCCAGTTGGTTGGTACTTTGACTTTTCCTTGTGTTATATCTCAGAAGTCTACAGTAAATATTCATTTAAAAATTATGGCCTTTCATGATTTTCATATAACCGTGCAGAGTACACACTGTGACTCAGGATTTGGGAGTCCTGGATGTTCAGTATATCACATTCCAGTAGGCATTGATTGGGTCTCTGTGAGCATTCTTTCCCAGTACCCATCAGGAAATTCCTTGTGCTGTTTTCCTCTGCCATTTCTGATTCAGCTTTTCATTTGGCAGTTACTCGGAATACAGTGATCCTAAGCTCTTAGGATTTTGGCCTTTTAAGTGTTTCTCCTCTTGATGGTTTTTGAGGCTAAACACCTCATCTTGTTTTCTTTCTTCTTTACCACCCTGTGATAAAGGGAAATTTAAAGAGTAGGGCAACCTAAAGTTTCTTTTAACTTTTTGTTTTTAATTGTGTTATCATGATTTCAGACTTACGGAAAAGTTGTAAGTATGGTATGAAGAATTCTCGTATACCCTTTACCCAGACTTCCCAAATATTAATATCTTACATTCAGTTTATCCTCTTTCTTCCTGTGTATGTGTGCATATGTACACACAAACAGGTATATGTGTGTATATATTTTTAGAATTACTTAAAAGTAAGTTGCAGACTTTTACCTTTTTTTACCCTTAAGTAATCCATTGTGTATTTCTTAAAAAGAAGGACTTTCCCTGAAATAACCATGCTATAGTGATCAAAATCAAGTAATTATCTGATGTACAGATTTTATTCATTACATCTGTATGTATAAACCTTATTTATTAGTCTTAATATCTGTAGATCTAATGTATATTTTAAATGCAACATTATGGGCTGCTTGTATAATTTAATTCTTGGCAATAACTTACAATTTGAGAGTCTGTACAATTTCTAGAGTCCACAAATAGGATGGCAAGATGATAATTCAAAATAATTATTTTTTATCTCAAGAGACTGAAAATTTCAAATAGTTTCTGCTTCCTAGCTTTCCTTTTTTTAAAAAATTGAGTTTAATGTTTTTACCTCACTTATTCAGAGAGTTATTTGGCAAACTATAGACCTTGAATTACATCATTAAAACTTGTAGAAAATAACATGTTTCGGAATTTAAGTTTCATGTTAGTGTCTTTCACTAGGAAATATATGGGATGATTAGTGGGGGGATTTTTGCTCAATTCGCAAAGCTCATTGTTTTAGTTTTTTAAAGTCGGAATTAAAAGGAAGTGATAAAGATTGGTAACGGCAATGCAAAGACATTATATAAAATCACAAGGTGTTCATCCTTTTCATTTGAACTCTTTTGCATTTATATTTTTGTTGTCTAAGGTTCATTTGGGAAAAAGCTAAATGCAAGGAGTCACATGGGTACTTTTGGAATGTATAATAATGTAAAACCCACTGGAAGAGCAAAGTAGATAAATACATGCTTTATATTTGTACATAATTTCCAGAATTCATTAGGAGCAGAACAAGCCTGAATAGACCTGTTTCCAAAATGACGCTTTCTTCCCAGCCCCACAGTCTTCCATTAGACTCCACTCTAGCAAATAAGCATTGTGTCTTTTTAGAAAGGACCCAGAATTTTATTTTCAAAATTAAAAGGGAACAGCCTTTAGGAAGTACTTTCTGATTTCCACTATTAAGTCTCAATTCAGTTGTAGCAATTAATAACTTCTCCTCCCCCTATATCCATTTCCATTGTCAATAACAATCTTCTTTAGCTTAAGTTCCATTTATCCCAATATCGTTTCCATGTGTATGGACCATTGTTGATACTCATGGCTGCATTGACTCAGATGTTCTGTTAACCTGTATAATATTACTCTACTTCCAAACTGATATTCTCATAGTTGATGCATTAGCAGAATTTGGCTCATTCTGTACCTTTAAAGTAACGCTCCATGGTTACATTGTTGTGGTCAGGCCTTATTGTTACATGTAGTTCTTAGACCGTTTCAGTTATTCTTGTTCATCAACTCTGAACCATTTCCAGTTCTGGTTCTTCAGCCCTCTTCCATCTTTATTTGGATCCCTATTGTGATTTCAGAAGCATTCTTGCTACTCTCCAAAGTTGCTTGTTTCTTTTTACCCATTAAAAAAAAAACCAGCTTGGCCAATCTCTTCTATTTTCCCTGCTTTTGCTTCCAGACCTTTGAGATTGCTGAGAATTGCCAGTTAGGGAACCAAGCCTTTTGAGTTGACCACAAATTCGTGTGTGTGTGTGTGTGTGGTTTTTTTTTTTTTTTAACCTAATCTGGATGCAACACACTAATTGGTGATCTTTATAAGCAATTTTTTCCTAATTTTTATTTTACCAAAGCAGTACATGCACATGCACAATACAGTTTTAATGGAAAACATATTTGTTCCTTGTTTTTTTCCCCCATTTTTAGACATTATTCTTTGTCTTTGATAAATTCTTTTTATCTGATCTTTTTTCTTGGAAATAATATTACTTCTTGTATTACTTCTATAATCTTAAAGTTCCATCATATTGTATTAACTTTTTTCTCCCTCTTACTTTTGGGAGAGTTTCTTTTCTAAGCTTTCTCTCTCGTTTTTTTATTTTTTAATTTTTAAAATTCATGATTCCATTTTAAATTATCAAAATGTATTTTTTGTGTTCTTAATTTCCTTTTTTAGAACATTTGTTCTTGTTTTATGCCTACGGTATCTTCCCTTGACAGTCTGATATTACTTATAGTTTAAAAAAATTATTATTTTGGTTTTGGTCTCTGTCTTTTATGTTGGAAGCTTTCTTTTAAATGTTTGGGATCAGTTGTCAGAAGATTCCATCTCTTGCTGAGAGTGTTGGGATTTGGGGCTTGGTTATCACTGGCTTCATTTTGTATGTAAATGTGGGCAGTTAACTAGGAGTCTGTAGAATGTCCTGTAACCACTTTGTTTCTAGAATGGCACCATACCTCTGTCTCCAGACAGTGCCTACACAGCCACAGATAATCCATAAGTGAATACATGTGGCTGTGTTTTAATAAAACTTTATTTATAAAAACAGGTGATGATATGGATTTGGCCTGCAGTGTAAGACCCCTTACAATTTGAATTTTAAATTCCCTAACGAGGGCATTAGGGGCACTGCAGGTTATGGCCCCTTTCTTCTTTTGCATACCTACCTAACATCAACCACAGTCTTCCTTTTTACACTACATGTTTTCCTCTGAATACTCTGTAGACATCAGTCCTTGCTGTTTCGGAGTTGTTTTGCAGCAGTCTCTTATGGATCTGTCTGCGTTTCTGGTCGTCAATGTCATAGTTATTTTTTGTACTTTCCTTGTTACTAGATTGTACATTTTTTAAGAGCAGAGAGAATGACAACTGTATATCCCATACAGCAATAACGTACTCTTTACACAAAATAGGAAATTAATAAACTTGAATCCAGTTATTATTTAAACCATTTGTTTTTTAAAAATGCGCTGTAATTATGATACATTATTTGTTTTAAATTCCTAGAGACAAATAAAAAGTGGTGTGTTTTGGAAGGAGGCTTCTTGAGTTATTATGAAAATGATAAGTCTACCACACCTAATGGCACCATTAACATCAATGAAGTTATCTGCCTGGCTGTACACAAAGAGGACTTCTATTTAAATACCGGGTAGGTCTACTGTTAGACAGGTAGGAGGTGAAGAATATTTCCTGATATTTATCATACCAGATAATAAGAGATTTGTTAATTCTTCATTTGCTTATTGTGGAAGAGTTTAATAGTTTCTTGAACCCTGATCATTTTGCAGCTTCTGAAAGTTCCTTAGGGCATTTGCTAAAAAGTAGAAAAATTAAAATATTATACCAGGTACTATGAAAGGCTAACGTATTTGCATCTAATCTTTAATAAATTTATAGCATTCCATTCTAGAACATGTAGTCCTAAAATTTTTATAATTTACTCATTTAAAATGGTGGACTAATAGCAAAATTTATGCATTCATTTAATGCATTATTCAAAGGAAAATATTCAGTAATGACTTATTTCCATTAAAATAAAAAACTAAAAGTATTTTATACCATATTGAAATGCTAAATTCCCTAAAGATTCACTTTAGCATTTTAATGGTCTCAAAAAAGTTGCAATTAAAAGAGTAAGCATTATTTATTTAATATAGTTGGCTCAAAGAATGGTTTAATAAATTTTTTGTGAGGACTTTTAAAACCAAACCATCTAATATACTTGGTATGAAAGTTACATTTTGTAATGTAATTAATGAAAAACTATAAATATTAAAATCTGCATAAATCAGTTTTATAGAAACATATTTGAATATAAATTTTATGAGAATGGAAAGAGATTTGCAGAACTTTGCCATTTACGTAAAATTACATGTACCATAGTATCATTAGTATACCATGACTAGTATATCCTAGTTAAAGTGACTTTGTTTTTTAGTAAATCAACAAAACTGATCATTAGTGATTTTGTTTTTGTTTTAATCTTAATAATGCTTTTATTCCAAATGAATAATTAATGTGGCTTACTGTGGAATATTAAAATAAATGCATTCCTAGTATTCAGTTGCTTACTTAGTAAATAAAATATAATTTAAAATAATATTAGTTTATGTCAGCATGTAATCATTCAGAAATAAAACATTCTTGATAGAATGTTCCTGATACAAGTAGACATGCAGGAGATACCATCTACAGTGAAATAAGGTTAAAAATAACTATCGCAGCCGTCCTCTGAGTCTCCTTAAATAGCACTTTATAGAGTTTAGACTCAGTAATGTAGGCAGTGAGGAGTTACATAGATTTGTATTTGAGGAAGAAAGCTGGCTGAAGTGGTGAGAGAGAGATGGGAGGAAGAGAGACCACAATTACTGAGAGTGTACCTAGAGGAAGAGATCGTTAAAAAGAGAAAAACAAAAAACAGTGAGTTGAGAGAATTTTATGATTGAACTAGTAAGAAATACTCTCTTGACTGGATGAAGAGCTGCTGTTAAGAAGAAGAAATTAGGGGCGCCTGGGTGGCTCAGTCGGTTAAGCATCTGCCTTCGGCTCAGGTCATGATCCCAGGGTCCTGGAATGGAGCCCCACATCAGGCTCCCTGCTCTGTGGGAAGCCTGCTTCTCCCTCTCCCTCTGCCCCTGCTTGTGTTCCCTCTCTTGCTGTCTCTCTCTCTGTCAAATAAATAAAATCTTAAAAAAAAAAGAAATTAAACCCCAGGATTTTGAGCTTGTTGATAAAGTAGATGGTGATGCCTCTAAATTGAAACATGAGGCAAATATAAGCAGTATGGGGTAAAAAAAGAGGAAGAAGAAAGATGACTCTATAGGGTATTTTGAGATTTTTTTAGGTAACAGCGGCAACGTACTTCACACATTCCAGGAAATAGTTGGAGCTGTGGATGAGGTCCCCAGGGAAGAATTCAGGACCTGGGATGTTACTCTAATTTTATCTGCAGTAAGGAAATAAAAGTTTGGGATAAGATGAGATAATGGGTGGAAGATTTGTGAAGTAAGACAGGAAGAGGGCTGATTATGGAATGGTTGGACAGTGTTTGCTTTAAACAGAGTGTCGAGGTGGCCTGGTCTGAGAGGGAAGAGGAGACCAAAGAGAGCCCTTTGCCACATCAGTCAACTAATGAATGTCCAGGGCATTAACACAGTCATGCAGTAGAGTGATTAAGTAATCAGAAGAATATTCCTTTTGTCTGATCCAGTGTATTCCATTTATTCAAATGAATTAAAATATAAATTGTTGGGAAAATATGATTTCAAAGCATTATCCAATTTTCAAAGGGAATTTAATTAAAAACTTGATTTTTGTGTTATTTGTTTCCATAAGAGCCAAACAGAAACAGTGGTATCTTTTTATTCATGTGTGCTACAGGCCCATCTTTGCCTTTGAGATCTATTTACCCTCAGAACGTGCGTTTTTATTTGGAGCTGAAACATCTCAAGCTCAAAGAAAATGGACAGAAGCAATAGCCAAGGTATTTAAATACTGCATATTTACCCTAAGTCCAGAGAATATTCTTAACTTGGGATCTATGGTTGAGCTTCAGAGATCCATAAAAATTTTACACAAGATTCTGGGAAAAATGTCCATACTTCAATTAGCAATAATCGCGCCTCGGATGAACCTCATTGGCTACGATACTGCCACTGCACAAAGCTAAAAAAAATGTCCATACTTCATTAAGTTTTCAAAGGTTATAGTCAAAAGAGATTAAGAGTTTCCATCCTAGAACCTTAGGCTGAGAAACAACAACAAAAAAAGAAATAATGTAGGACCTTGGAGGAGTCATTCTTTGAATTCAGCCATGTTATGATGATTAAGATCTTTTCACAATTTTGAAGTCATTTCTATGTATGTCTCTTCATAGGTAGATGTGTTATTCATGGTACACACAAAGGGGAAAGGAACAGATTCAGTGAAAGATACAAATGGAGACAAACGTTTTGAAAAATGCCACAAATCAGCATAGATGATGTCTTCCCATTTCAATTCTATATATATCAAAAAAAGTGGTTTAAGACGCTGCCATTTGAAAATGCATTATAGCTGTGCAGTTTTAAGACTGATAGCAAGTTTAAATAATTGTTTTGAAATTTGGGTTACTTCTAAATTTTTAAGGTAGAGAAACTATTTTTGTTTTTCTACCTTCCCTCGAGTCCATAGGTAGGGAAGGGATTTCCTATTTGCACTGTCTTTATTACTTTTCTGTATTTGTTTTAACAGCATTTTGTTCCCTTTGTTGCTGAAAACTTAACAGAAGCTGACTATGATTTGATTGGTCAACTCTACTACAAAGACTGCCATGCCCTGGACCAGTGGAGAAAAGGCTGGTTTTCTATGGAAAAGTCTAGTTTGCGTTTTTGTCTTCAAATGCAAGAAGTTCAGGAAGATAGAATGCACTTAAGAAGACTGCAGGAGCTAAGTAAGATTTTTTTTCCTCTTTCATCTTATATTTTGGATGCGATTCTTTATAGCATATGATAATAGTAGCTTTTACATAAAATTATGACGCCTTATTTCCAAACATGACTAAGTATTAATAATTGTGTCTTTATGGGTATTTGGTGTCTTGTTTTAAATGATGGATTCATGCTTTTCTCCTTTTTCTCCAGCAATCAGCACAGTGGTTCAAAATGGGGAAAAAATGGATGTCTTGCTCTTGGTAGAAAAAGGGAGGTAAGTGCATTTTTGCTTTTTACTCTTTATTGCAATAATTCTAGGGAGTAGGGTGTTTTGGTTATCTTCTTTGAGGGAGAAGCCACTATTTTATAGCCTGTTGGAAGTTTTCTGAAGTGTGTGTATATGTATGTCTATACACGTACACACACACACACACAAACACACTCTCACTCTTCAATAGAAAGAATACACCAATAAAGCTTGCATATTTTTATATTTGTATGGGTGATCAATGTTACATTTGTCATCAGTGTGATCAATTATTATACTTCTCTGTAGACTTAGATTCCTTTGGGACATTCACATTTAAATATTTGGAAGCACTTTGGCAGTTGTATAAATATGTTTTCAGTGTAGGTATACGATAAATATAAATAATATCCTGAATTACCTATGCATGTGAGTCATGTAAAAATAAAACGTGATTTCTTGAATTTATTCGCTTTTTCAACAAATATTAAACACTGCTTTGTACCAGATGCTGTTATAGGTATTGGGCATACAGTTTGTATGTAAAATAAAAATTTTACACAAGATTCTGGATAAAATGTCCATGTGTTTTTGGACATGGTTTATGCCCTCATGAAACATGTGCATTAGTGGTAGAAACAGAATATACACAGACAAAAAAATAGTTACATAGTATCATGTCCATCAATTTTAAATGCTTGAAGAAGAATAAGGTGAAGAGAGAGAGCCTGATGGAGCAGTATTCTGTTTTAGATAGGGTGGTAAGAGAGGGTATCTTTGATTAGAGATGTGCCTAAGGTGAAGAAGCAAACCATGGAACCGTCTGAATAGAGTGTTCCAGGTATAAGGTCAAGGATATTTTGAAGACCCTAACAGTGTGCTGTATTTAGCATGTTCACGATCTGCAGGCGAGCTGCTGTTGGTTGGGAGATTCGAATGAGTTTGAGGGTGGAAAGAAATTATTTCAGAGATCTCTGGGCCTTATCATATAGAGCCCTACAGGTAATAATATGTAAAGATGTGAATTTTATTCTAAGCCTGATGGGAAGCTGCTCATTTTGAGAGTCAGGAAGCGGAATGATCTGACTTCAGTGTTTAAAGGACTACTCTGACTCCAGATGAATAAGCCTTTCGGGTACAAGAGTGAAAATGAGTGTCCAGTTAGGATGCTGTTACAGAGGCCGGGCAAGGGATGGCAGACATAGTAAAACAGTGTTGAGTGATTGGAGCCATTGTGAAGGCAGAGGCCAGAGGGTTTGTTGATGGATCAGGTGAGTGTAAGAGTTAAGGGTTACCCCAAGATTTTGGCCTGAGCAAGTACATTAATGATAATGTTCTTTTTTTCCAGATAACAAATACAGGACAGTAGAATTAGGATATTAGTAAGTTTAGGGTAGTAGATCAAGAATTTGGTATTGAAAATGGTAACCTTGAGATGTCTATTTGACAGCGAAGTGGAGTTGGTGAGTGGACATGTGGATATACAAGTCTGGAATTAAGTGGAGAGGTTGCAACTGGAGATAGAGATTTGAGAGTCATCAGCACACTGATGTTAATTTAGCCAACGAACTGGATGGATTCACCTAGACGAAGAGTATAGACAAAAAACAGACTTGAAGATGAGCCCCTGGGACTCCAATAATTAGAGATCAAGAAGAGGGGGATGATCCAGAAAGAGAGCCTAGGAAGGAGCAGCTAAGGGTCATATCACAACATTTAGGTATAGCCTCTTGAACAAACTTTTTTTTTCTATTTTTTTATCGTTCCTTAATTATAGTGATATAGTATGTTTAGCTCTACAAGAGTACAAGATAATTTGCAAAAACATCTATTATATAAAAATATAGCTAAATTAGCTTTCCCTTTGGTTATTTTCTTTGCTGGTGACATGAATAATGACTTTCAACAGTTGTCTAACCTGTCTTTTCTTCAGTTTCATGGGAGGACATCAACAGCTTTAGACAGCAAGCATATTGCGGATTAGATATTTATGTCAGAGGGTGTCTTTTAATTTACAGGCATAATTAGTATTCTGTGTTTTTACTTGTTTATTTCTGGGATTATAATGATTCATGATACTTGAGATTCCGATTTTTGGTACCAGGTGATGGTTACACTGTACTTTCAGAGTACTGTTCATTATATGTTCACAAGTAACAACGAGATAGCATTATGTTGAGATAGTTTTATATTGTTAAAGTGCTAGCAGAATGCAGTTTTTACAGTCATCTATTCATATTTATGGAATGCTTGTTGGCCTCCTACCATAATGGCAGGAAAAAAGTTGGTCAGCAGTACAGACTTGGAGTCTGAACTCCCAGAATTTATGTTTTTAAACAAATAAACCAACAGCAACTTGTTAAATTTATTGCATTTATCATTTATATTATCAGGTTACTATAGCCAAAGTGTTTTTTTGTTTTGTTTTGTTTTTACCATTTTCAGGCTAAGAAGGATTTGACCAGTGATACATTGGTTTTAATTAAAATGTTGCAAACATGAATTAAAACGTAGCAAACAGGGGTTGGAATTATTCTAATCAATTTGATGACTTTTTATTTAATGCTTATTGCATGCAGTGCACTCACTCATGAATGCAAAATAGGGAAGCCAGAAGACAAAATGTGTTGTTATTTTGTAACATCTTGACCTTTTCACTGGACTACAGCCATCAGTAGGTGAACTCACATACACTCCGAGTTCATAGAATAGTTGAAATCTGATGGAATTGCAAAATAATGGTCAGAGCTGCTTTAATAGTGTTTTGATAATTTCAAAAATTTTATCTACATGTGTTATTAACAAGTCATGTTGCAAGCATTTTTACTAAAGTGAAGCACAGGGAATGTGTCAGAGACCTACAGGGACAAATATATAACCAGGTTATTTTCCTAAATCTGTTTGAACAGCTACCATACAAAATGTACCATTTGAAAATGACTATTTATCACATGCTTACATCCTGCTCTTCCTTGCTTTTGCTGTGTTCTCCAAATCAGTGATGTTCTGACCATAACAAGAATACAATGATGAGAATGTGTATAGAACTCACTGTATCAGGCACTGTTTCAAGCACTTTAACAGCCTTCTAGTGCCTATGTGATGTTGAGGAGGATAATCTCGTACCTCTAAGGTAAATTTCACCAGCAACAAGGGGTTTATTTGGGAACAGAGGATTGCAATTAGGACAGGCATGCTGCAATGAAAGCATAGGCAAGTCTGGAGAACAAAAGAAAAAGAGTAGTCTTTGGGAACTTGTGGGGGGCTTTTATAAACAAAAAGTCTTGTGGAGTAAAACGGGCAATTTATAGTGGCTCTTCATTGGCTGAGTTGTGACGGTTTCTCACTGGCTGGGCAATTGCTGGGAAGGAGAAGCCTTTCTTCCTCCTGCCTGAGTGGTAAAGAAGTATTTGTAGTATGGACTTCCAAGATTCCCTTCCTGTTGGGTCTGCAATTAACTAACTAGTGGTTGTGCTTGAGAGCTCCCCCTTCTGGCCTCTTGACTCCATTCTAAACAAGATTTTCTTTTATTATAAATTTTCACAAATCCATTTTGAAATCAAGTGAGGTCAATTTGTAACTTAACAACCTAAAGATCCTTTCTTTTTTGAAACAAGAATTAAGGGGCACCTGGGTGGCTCAGTCAGTTAAGCCCAGGTCCTCGGATCGAGTCCTGCATCGGGCTCTCTGCTCAATGGGGAGAGTGCTTCTCCCTCTCCCTCTGCTTGCTGCTCCCCCTGCTTGTGCTCTCTCTCTCTCCCTCTTTCTCTCTGTCATAAATAAATAAATAAAATCTTTAAAAAAATAAAACAAGAATTAAGTTTAACTTACCGACACCAAGTCATTCTCAAGAATTAAGTCAACAAATGTACCAGGATCCTGGATAAACGATATAAGTTATCAGAATTTAAAATTTGGGCATTTTATGAGAAACTTTTATTAGAAAAAATCATTTTGTTAGAATATATTTTGTTAGAAAAAAATATATATCTCCACATAATTCTTACCTAATTAAAGAGAGAGCAGAAAGAAGGGAGGTCAGAAGTGTGAATAGTTAAGAATGTGCCTGGGAGATTATGAGTGCACTAGATGATAAACCCTGACAGAACATGTGCTGGCAATGACACCTTGTGTGGGGCAAAGTAGGCTCTCATATTTATATATCTATGTATTTATATACATAGACACACATGTGTATGTATATATGTGTGTGTATTTATGTATGTATGTGTTATGTGAATAAATCAGCTTCAAATAGGGAATAATGGTAAGAGAGCAGGTTTGAGAGGGAGCTTGGGAAATAAGGAGTTTGATTTTAGATGTGTTGAACATGAGTTGCTTATAAACACCTAAGGACAAAGTGCTAGGAGGAAGTTGTATTTATAGATCTGGAGTTCATGTAAAGGTTAATGGGGTGGAGTTACAGGTTTTGGAGTTACCCATATATAGAAGGAAGGACAGGAAGTCACTTAGGAAGAGTCTATAGAGTAAGAAGGGAAGAATTAGTGTGTTGGAGCCTTGATGGATACACATCATTTTAGAGGCCAGATAATTGTCAGGGCGGAGTAGCTGCCTTGAGTTGTTAAGCTAGTTTATCCAGAAAGTGAGGCAAGAAACCAAGAGTGGGGTTATAAAACCCAGGGAGAGAGAGTATTACAAGAAGGCAGGAACAGTCAGAACTGTTAGGTGCTGCCTGATGAGGGCAGATACTTCCTGGGATAATTGATGCGGAGTCCATCTGGTGACTTTGAAGTGAGCAGAGTGATAAAGCAGAAACTGGATTAGATTAAGCCTGGGAATTGAGTAACTTGAAACAGCTGGTGACGAGTTTGGCAAGGATGTCTGGAGGTTAATAGGATTCTCGAGGTAGAAGGGATTTGTCCCAGGAAGGGTATGTGTGTGCAGTTTGTTTTAGATGGTTTGAACTTGTGCAAGTTTAAATTCTGATGGAAGGAGACACAAAAAGGGAGATACTGAAGGTATAAGAGAGAGGACAAGAAGAGAGCAAGGTCCCTCGATTGTAACCA